GTATTTGGAAGGCCATATAATTTACCTCAATTTAGGAAAGACTCTTGAATTTTTAAGAGTCGAAATTGGATGAACGGATCATATAAACCCGAAGGAAAATATAATACAAGCCCAAACGAAAGAATATATAAAAGTCTAAATTGAAAACAACGTTCAAACCTATGATTGCGTTGGATAAAAACCGCAATTTTTATACGTCTGCATGTAAAACAAATTTCGTGGTAGAGGGGTCTAAATACAGCACAAACAACAATTTCCAAAAGACCAAAAAAAAGTGAAAAAGTCTATTTTAACAAAACGCATTTGACTAACAGGTCGAACAACTGATGTTCTTAAACCCTGCTGACTGCCATTGGCGATTGCCAAATAAATTGATCACCAGATCTAACAAAATGAATCTTAATATTAATTTAATACCAAACAGAAAACAATAAACTTGTGGAAAAGATGGTATACCACAAACATGAGGTGCAAAAATTTGTACACCATATCTGGATTTCGACAATCAATGTCTCTTCAGTGATGTTAGGGATCGAAACGGTATTTGGAAGGCCATATAATTTACCTCAATTTAGGAAAGACTCTTGAATTTTAAAGAGTCGAAACAGGATGAACGGATCATATAAACCCGAAGGAAAATATAAAACAAGCCCAAACGAAAGAATATATAAAAGTCTAAATTGAAAACAACGTTCAAACCTATGATTGCGTTGGATAAAAACCGCATTTTTTATACGTGTGCATGCAAAACAAATTTCGTGGTAGAGGGGTCTAAATACAGCACTAACAACAATTTCCAAAAGACCAAAAAAAGTGGAAAAGTCTATTTTAACAAAACGCATTTGACTAACAGGTCGAACAACTGATGTTCTTAAACCCTGCTGACTGCCATTGGCGATTGCCAAATAAATTGATCACCAGATCTAACAAAATGGATCTTAATATTAATTTAATACCAAACAGAAAACAATAAACTTGTGGAAAAGATGGTATACCACAAATATGAGGTGCAAAAATTAGTACACCATATCCGGATTTCGACAATTAATGTCTCTTCAGTGATGTTAGGGATCGAAACGGTATTTGGAAGGCCATATAATTTACCTCAACTTAGGAAAGACTCTTGAATTTTAAAGAGTCGAAATAGGATGAACGGATCATATAAACCCGAAGGAAAATATAATACAAGCCCAAACGAAAGAATATATAAAAGTCTAAATTGAAAACAACGTTCAAACCTATGATTGCGTTGGATAAAAACCGCAACTTTTATACGTGTGCATGTAAAACAAATTTCGTTGTAGAGGGGTCTAAATACAGCACAAACAACAATTTCCAAAAGACCAAAAAAAGTGAAAAAGTCTATTTTAACAAAACGCATTTGACTAACAGGTCGAACAACTGATGGTCTTAAACCCTGCTGACTGCCATTGGCGATTGCCAAATAAATTGATCACCAGATCTAACAAAATGGATCTTAATATTAATTTAATACCAAACAGAAAACAATAAACTTGTGGAAAAGATGGTATACCACAAACATGAGGTGCAAAAATTTGTACACCATATCCGGATTTCGACAATTAATGTCTCTTCAGTGATGTTAGGAATCGAAACGGTATTTAGAAGGCCATATAATTTACCTCAATTTAGGAAAGACTCTTGAATTTTAAAGAGTCGAAATAGGATGAACGGATCATATAAACCCGAAGGAAAATATAATACAAGCCCAAACGAAAGAATATATAAAAGTCTAAATTGAAAACAACGTTCAAACCTATGATTGCGTTGGATAAAAACCGCAATTTTTATACGTCTGCATGTAAAACAAATTTCGTGGTAGAGGGGTCTAAATACAGTACAAACAGCAATTTCCAACAGACCAAAAAAAGTGAAAAAGTCTATTTTAACAAAACGCATTTGACTAACAGGTCGAACAACTGATGTTCTTAAACCCTGCTGACTGCCATTGGCGATTGCCAAATAAATTGATCACCAGATCTAACAAAATGGATCTTAATATTAATTTAATACCAAACAGAAAACAATAAACTTGTGGAAAAGATGGTATACCACAAACATGAGGTGCAAAAATTATATATATATATATATTAAGTTTTGTAATGACTCGGTCTGCCTTTCCTTTTCTTACATATAACTATATAATGCTTTATGGTAAATAGTTGTACGCATTTCAGGGTAAATCTGTCTTAAGGTAACAGTAGTATACCGCTGTTCAATAGTCATAATTCTATTAAGCAAAAACAATTCGGATAACAAAATAAAACCGAGGGAAACACATCAACTATAAGAGTAAAACCACGGAACAACAGAAACACTGAACAACAACAAAAGCAAACGCCAACATACATAGCAACGGACTGTCTGATAACAACTGCCATATTCCTGACTTGGTCCAGGACATTTGTGGAAAAAAATGCTGGGTTGAACCTGGTTTATGGCTAGCCAACCCTCCCGCTTATATGGCAATGTTAAAAATACTGCTAAAATGACAACATTGCGTGACAAGAATACAGTACAAACAAACGCAAGAACACTCAGCACAGAGAAATACATATAAAATAAATAATATAATAATACATTACAACATGTAAACCGCAGAATATCAACGGACACCTCCCATGAATTTACGACAGCACACCAGGACACCACAAACGAAATATAAACTGCGCGTCACATGAATGGATGAACGTCACAAAAAGTGACGTATTGTATGTGACGTTTATATTATCACAGGTAAATTTCTAAAAATAAAATAGATTTGTTTTATTTATAGACACTTACAAGAATATTTAATTGGGATTGAGTTTGTAATGGTGTTATTTTATGTATTTTCTAACAATGACAAGAATATTAAAATGGAATTGTGTTTGTAATGGTGTTATTATTTGCATTTTCTAACCATATAAAAAAGAAGATGTGGTAAGATTGCCAATGAGACAACTCTCCACAAGAGACCAAATGACACAGAAATTAATAACTATAGGTCACCGTGCAGCCTTCAATAATGAACAAAGCCCATACCGCACAGTCAGCTATAAAAGGCCCCGAAATGACAATGTAAAACAATTCAAACGAGAAAACTAGATCACGAGGGACTGCACATGAACATCGAAACAGTTAAAACTGTTATATTTTCTGAGATAAAGCAAATAAAATTTGCGGAAAATAGTATTACAAATGTATAGAATACACGTAAATATCGATAAAAAGCCCAGTAATTTTGACTTAAAATTAACTTTTCTGGAAATCCTGTCCTTCAATTTTTTTTTTTTATAAAAACGATATGTTATTGCTACTGAAATTTCCGTTTTATTGATATAAAATTGATATGGCAATCTAAAGTCAATTGTTTCAATATTTGTTTCACGATTTACAGTTTGACTGTCCCTCTGGTATCTTTCGTCCCTCTTTTACGTGCATCCTATAATTGTACTCCTTTCTACAAATATTCAATTTACTATAAATCCGAAAGTATAAAAGTTACTTATATAATTTTTCGATATTCATATGCAGTTCCACATGCTCAAATTGCTTGCTAAATTTCATAAAAATCCGTAAGATTGCCCATTTACGTACCTGTTACCTATAAGTTTATTATACAGGTCCCAAATGTAATTTTCATTTTTCACAATGTATTAGTTCAAAAGAATGCAGTTTTAAATGAAATGAATTCCTCATGATTACAAACATTTATAAATATGTCTTGTATTTTTAAAAATCAATGAAAATTTGACTTTTAAATTTAGTAAAATATTTAACGCTTAATGAACAATTATGTTCATAACTGATTTACCTGAAATATTTGCCACAGCAAGCGTACCAACTATCAATTAATAAAATCGCGTTTCTGTCAAAAATAAACTATAAATCCCGCTTATGGTTGATAAATACTATAATGGTGAATTTAAACGCTCAAGGTAAAAAGAAGTTATATCGTGCTCGGTAGAAACGCTAAAAGTCATGCTTAATAGAAACTTTCATACGCAATAGAAACGCCCATCTGCAGTATAATAGCTTATGTTCAACAGAATCGGTCATACTTCATAATCATTATGAACACTGAGAAGACAAGATTGGATACCACAAAATGATAAAAACAATGAAGGATTGCCGTTGAGAACAACAGATCAATAGAACGTTATAACTACCACTTGGTTGATACCTCTGCTGGTGGCATACAAAACAACGATAGTGTTATAAAAATTTGCATTTAAAAAATTTAAATATTATTTTAGCTTTATGAATATATCTTCCTCATACAAAGCTCCGAATACTAGCCCGACTTTGCTATATTTTTTATCCTTTTTTCATTATGTTTTATCAGCGCCTTATTTTTAATATACTTTGGATTTTCAAATATTTCGGCCTCGTGCATCACTAAAGAGACAGTTTTTGTCAAAATTTGCATCGGGTGCAGTAAAATGTACCCGGTTATATTAGTATTATAGCATGATAACAAAGGGAATCTCTACTAGATACAAAAAGAATAGATTCATGGAAGTAACATTTGTGAACTATTTAATCAAGGTTCATTTTACCAGTTATCGATTTAATGGGTATAGAGAACCGGGTCCAACTTGTAAAATGTCAAATGCATTTGAAATACACCGGAAAGATTGTCAAAACTAATGACCTTGCTTTATTAATTGGATAAACCTTTTAAAGTACACATCAACCCAATAGTATCGTTCGTTTTTAAAAACAAATATTGTGTTTTCTATTTAGAAATCAGTATGCTTTTGACTTGACCTTTTATTTGTTTCTCAAAACTTATTTTATAGTACCTACAATGTACATGGAGATGCACATTTCTTCAAAAACTATATCACAGTAATGATCTCCTTTATTTTACTAGTTATCAATAATCGTTTGGATCTTTGCAACATAACAGTTCATGGCTTCCTTATTTCTCCAGCATAGGTGTGCGATTAATTCATTTAACTATTTTGACTGACGTAAACATGATAAATACAAACCAAGTTTTCCTGCAAATGGTCAAGTCCTTCAAGGTTGCTGAAGAAGCTTTTTAATATTTTCCAATTGCTATCTTTTGAAACCTTGAAAATTAAACCAGTGAAACAGCTTAGTAAGGTTAAACTTGCCCTTAGGGTTCAACAAAAGCTCTTTCTACCATCAAATGATTTTGATCGCTTGCAAAAAACTAAAACTGTTGTAAAAGAAAGCGGATGATTGGGTTTAGTTTGAAAGCACGATAAAATAAACATCATTTTGATAAATCCCGTAACCATCGCATTTAAGTTGGGTGCCATTGCTTGCATTGAAACTCATTTCGTCAGAACTGTTTATTCAGTTTCATCCCGGTAGCATTCTGTGACTGATATGGCTTTTCATATGGTTATAAGTATTGGAGTTAAGGCTTAAAGCTTCTCAGACATAGGTCACAATTTTTACTTAACGTTGCAATATTTTCATTGATATTTATTTGAGATATGTTTTGATGTTTGTAAATTTAATTTTGATAAAAGTTTGGAAAATTTTAATTTAAAAAACACTTACCTTAATACGAAGGCAGTATTCACCGTTTTTGCAAAGTCCATATGTTGTCGACTTTTGGATTGTTCTAATGTTCTAAAATGCACCAGTACACACCACTCCTGGGTGACTCATAGCTATTGTGCAGGCCAACCGATATCCGGACTGTCGGTGATTTGGTGTAGTCTTTAATAAATCTGTTATATGATATTTACATTGGATTTGCAAACATTAAAGGAAGCATTGTTGATAGCATACCTGTGTATTTGTTTGCAAACTATTACAAAACTTTAAAATTGTATGCCTTTAATTGTAAATTAACAATTTGTTATTAAATGTATGTAACACATATGTTGTGTCATCTGTACTATTATTTGTCTGTTTGTCTTTTTATTTTTGGCCATGGCGTTGTCAGTTTGTTTTCGATCTATGAGTTTGACTGTCCCTCTGGTATCTTTCGTCCCTCTTTTGGCTTCTGTAATTACTTTATATTTTGAAATACCAAAGAGTGGAAATTAAAACGATTTTCACCATGATTCTGCATGGAAGATAGTAAATAGGGGTAAAATACAAGATTTGTCTAATATCTTGAAAACCCATATTGAGAAAGAAATTATGACAGGGGCAAAAATGTTCAAAATGTTGAATTCTACCTTTTGTCCTATTACATCAAAATTGTTAGATGACTTGTATTCAGATTGCTCCAAAATTACTAATTGTACCATATTTTTCATTTTCACCTTTTATCTTGAAAACTATAATAGATAGAGAAACTTAAAATAGCAGAAACGATCAACATAACAAGATCTACAAATAAGTCAACTTGGCCAAAATCGTCGATCAACTTTTTGTTATGTTATTGTCCTTGTGACGGATGGGTAAATTTGATGTATGGAGAGGCGATAAACAACGTGTATTTCGTTTGACTTTGTAATCTCAACTCAATATAATAACGTAGTACATAATAATTGAAGAACGTTTACAAAAGATGTAGTGACGTTAACAATGGTAAAATGAAAATGGCGCTACACGTAGCGTTAACATTTATTATGTTTATAGTAAATCAAACTGTTTCCAGAACATTGACATTCTCGGGGCCACCAAATGCACTATTCATTAGCTGTGATGTATTGTGGCATGCGGAAGAAACCTTTCAGTACATCGGACGGTAACTTGTTGTATATTACAGACGTAAGATTCTAAACCTCCTCGGCGCTGGCAAATCATCAAATTTTTGATACATGCGTTCGTGATTTTATGGTTCTGACCAAACTTCTCTATCAGCACTGCTACGGCTTGCTAGGACTTTGCACTTTGAGAAGTAATCCAGCAACACATTGTGGAGCTATTCTTTGGATTTGATTTTGCAAATACGTAAACGTCTGTACGTCTGTTAAAGTTTTGTTATCATGTATAATGGATAAATACGCATCATCGAAAGGTTGCCAGTTTAATATATTGCCATTAAAATATGTAAGATTCAATTGTGTAGCTTGTGATAGATGCTAGATTTTTTTGTGTTCATTGACGATCTGCAGTGCATATCATTATTCTGCATGGGATGTGAAGTATTAAAAATAGATAAGGAGTTTAAATATACGAAATCTGCTGCATTTTAATTTAAGTTAGAGCTGGTTTCATTCGATTTGGTTTTCTGTTTTGAGCCTGATGCATTGTGTACTTTTGTCAAAATATGTTCTATATCTAAAACATACCGACCTGCGTCTTCTATCTCAGCTACCATGTTTTCCTCAGATATCTCCCCTAGAATTTCACTGTCCAGTTGCGTAAGAATGTCCCTTTTGTTCACGTAAAAGTTTCACATAAACTTTCAATTTCATCGCGTTGTGTTGTTGATTTTTTCAACTTTTCTTCTATATTTGAAATCAATTTTTTTTTGCGGCTCCTCGTTTGATTGTGTAATCTCAACTCAATAAAGAAACGTGTTACATAATAATAGAACAAAGTTAACAACAGATATAGTGACGTTAACAACAGATATAGTGACGTTAACAACATGAACAATTGTAAAATAAAAACGGCACTAAACGTAGCGCTAACGTTTGAAGTAAATCAAACTCTCTAACTCATCGACAGTCCTTTCGTGACAATTCTACCATCTTTGGGTTTTTGTCAATTATCTTGAAAACTATACTAGATATGTATATAAACTTTAAATAGCAAAATGTATTAGCAGGACAAGATCTACAAATAAGACAACATGGATGAAATCGTGAGTTGACTCTTTAAATTGCGATGTTTTTTTATAGTCTTACAAGTGTGGACACAGATCAGTGTGGATAGTATGATTGGATGTTTGACAGTGTTTTATATGACAAAAGGAGTTCTATGTTTTATGTTTTCTATGTATTAACTGTGTTGCACAATGACAACCAACATGAGCATTAGGGGTGTTGTTTATGTAATATTTAGTTTTTTATGTTCAACACTAGCATGGAAGAGATACTAATTGCATTAATTACCAAATGATTATGATAGAATATATATGTTCCACATCTTTGATTTTGGATACATTTTGTAGCTAGGAGAGGAACACATAATAGATTCATTTTTTTCTTAATGTGATTTTTTTATATGGGAGATGGTATCTGAGAACATGTATTTGCTTACTATTTGTATGGTTCTATTTATATTACTTTGTGGGGGATTGTCAGTATCGTTAGTAAAAGATTTCGGTTAAATGTGCAAATTGTTTCTCAGTTTAGAAGACATTTAATGTTTTTTAGTAATGACAATGCCTGACATGATGATTGGGACTAGATGAGCTAGAAAGTGAATTTCTGTGTTATTTTTTATTAATTCTTTGAAAATATCTCCTCCAAAGCTGAGATTTGACAAAAAAAAACAGCATATTGCAAAATGATTTAAATGCTATACAATCTTGGTGTAACAATAACAGTATGAAAATTAATGCACAAAAAACAAAGTGTATGAAATTGGGTTCAAAACAAAAACTTACACAACTATCAGAATTATGTATTACCGTCAATGAAACATGTATTGAAAATGTCCATTCTTTCAAATTACTTGGAATTGACATTGATGAAAATTTAAGCTGGGAGGATCATGTTGATCGTATATGCAAGATTATCTCATCTAAAATATCACTTTTGTTTAAAATTAAAGTATATTTGCCTATACACACAAGACAACTATTTTATAATGCATATATTCTACCATATACATGTATAGACTATTGTAGTTCAGTTTGGGGAAATTTATTACAAAAAGATTCAGATGGAATCATAAAACTTTAAAAAAGAGTAGCAAGAATTATACTTGAATGCGATATTTCTGTTCCATCTAATTTTATGTTTTCATCTTTAAAATAGCTATCTTTTACAAAAAGAATAAAATACCAACAATCAATTCTAGTGTATAAAATTGTAAATGGACTAACACCTGATTACTTAACTATGCTAAATATTAATGATGTGCAACACCACAACTTACGATCTGTCTCTAATAATGATCTATTTGTTCCAAGACCAAACACAAATTTATATAAAAAATCTCTTCATTATTCTGCAACAAAGGTATGGAATAATTTACCACACAAAATAAAAAATTGTCGAAATGTGGAATTATTTAAGAAACATTGTTATAATCATTTTCTTGAAAATTCTATGCAAGTCGAATAATTTGTTTTCTTTCTTTTATTGTAAGAATAAGAAAATTTAATCAAAACTTTACCAATTATTGCCATTTATTGCCATTTGTATGTTTGAATGATTGAATTGTGTATATACTAGTAATATATATTGTATTTTAATGTATGAATGTTAACTGTATACATGTATTTTGTTTGAGGGCCTCAATGAAAATTAGACTACTTCTAATTGAGTTACCCTCTTTAAATAAAGAATTTATTATTATTATTATATTATTATAAAGCTGGTCAAAGCAAAAAAAAGTTTTATGATATCAACAAAAGAACCTTTGTGAGCATGCTTCAAAGACTCATAACTAACTACAGAAGTCATATGATAAAATGTCAAGTGGATAGTATGAACATCTACTTAATATGTCTAAATATCTAAAAAGTTTTAGTATTCAATATGAAAAAGCTATTGCAAAAGTGTTCTCTTTTCAGTTTTTTTTTTGTTATATGGATACAAATGTAAGTGATACCAATACAGTAAGGCAGTTTTGTTATGGTATGAAAGTGTAGTAATTAGCATTTACTGTTAATTCACACAAATTAAGAAATAAACAAATGAATGATAAATGTTGAACATGTACAATGAAATATATTTTAGAAATAAATTAGGCCAGATAGGCCTTATAAATTTTGGTCTTTTTCTTAACATACTGAATGACCATTTACACTCAGGACTGAGTCGCCAGTAGGCAGTACAGATGTAAAAAATGTGGATAGTGTCCACATGTGGACACAGATGATGCCCCCGCTTGCATATTATATAGTTATAAAGGGACATAACTGAAGAACGGTAAAAGTGACGCTACCCAAATTTGAACTTGATCTGAGTTTTGTGGTAATAAGCATTGTGTGTAAGTCTCATAACTGTTATTAACATTTGGTTGAGGCTAACTTGAGTAGAGAACAGAAACTCAAAATTCAGCAATTTTTCTATTTGTAAACACGCATAACTCTAGAACGGTTGTGTATAAGTTTTATAACATTCAGTTGAAACAAACTAAAGTTAGAGAACAGAAATGAAAAATTCAGCAATTTTTATGTTTATAAAGGGACATAACTCAAGAATGGTAAAAGAGTCGCCACAAAATTTCGTACTTAATCTGTATTTATAGTAATAAGCATTGTGTATAAGTTTCATAACATTTGGTTGTGGCAAACTAAAGTTAGAAAACGGAAACAAAAAATTTGTACTTGATCTTAGTTTTGTGGTAATGAATATTGTGTATAGGTTCCATAATGTTTGGTTGGGGCAAGCTTAAGTTACAGAATGGAAACTAAAAATTTAGCAATCTTTCGATTTATAAAGGGGCATAACTCAATAATGGTTAAAGTGACCCTACCCAAATTCAACTTGATCTGTATTTTATCAGTGGAAGTCAAAATTAAACATTGCATTGTATAAAGCATTGATTGTAGTTGATTCAACTATAATCATGGACAAAGGAAGATAACTCCAATTTAAAAATTACTTGATATTTAGAAGAACATAAAAATTGAGCA